AGGAGTGCTTAGAAGAGAGTGAATGTATTTTTGATGTTTTAGACCTCTTATGAGCTTTATAGAAACTTAGGTGTCTCTCTTCGTACTCCCTTTTGTAATTATGGATGGCTACACTGAATTGGTGTAGCCATGTTTATATTTAATACAAATATGTTACCATTCTCAAAAAAAAAATGACTCCACTGTTGCAGCAACATGCATGTCTATATATTGCACTGTTGAGCATACCAGATGTATGATTCTGGAAGCAATACAGTTCACGTGTGCTCCTAAGTTTATTTTCTTAAGAGTTTTCAATTCCTTCATGGTAGCAGATCATTTTCCAGATGGTATATACCTCAGTCAAGGTAAATATGCTCAAGAGATTTTGCAATGCAGCAACATGTTATGCTCTCGAGCCGTACATACTCCTCTAGCTCAAAAGCATGGGCTTCATGAAGCAACTGGATCCTCCGCCGATTCCACCAAGTACCGCAGCATTGTAGGAGCTCTACAATATCTAACAGTCACCAGGCCTGAGCTTTCTCATGCGGTGAATCTGGTTTGTCAGTTTATGCAGTCTCTTTACCATGCTACATTTTGGCCTAAGGAACACTTCAAAGCGTCCCTTAGCCTTGTTGGGTTTTCCGATTCTGATTGGACTGGCTGCCCGATTAACCAGGCGTTCTACAACAGGGTTGTATGTATTTTTGGGGGTCGAATTGCATTTCCTGGTAAGCAGCAAACAGTAGGTCGTCACCTATGAGACTCTGTTGACTCAAAGCAACTTACAGAAAAGGGGTATGCCTTCTGCAGCAAATATGACAACCTTGAAAGGGATGCTAAAGTGGTCAACCTACAAAAAAGGCATATGCCTTTGCACTGCCCAATGGTGTCTCAACTCTGGTAACTGCTCTTGAATATTTTGAGTAAGGTGAGCATTAGGCAGAACAATCAGGTAAACCTCTTCTGTTTGGAGGTAAATAAATTGGTAAAACTAGGAGGAGGACCTGAGAAACACTCCCAGCTTGTGTAGGTGGTTCATTTGGGAAGAAAGGAAGGAACTTGAGATATTCTGAGAGCAAAGCAGAGAATATTCTTAGATGAAAGCTCGAGTCCTTTTATTTTGGCTTTTTTCGTGTAATTTGGAGACATATTAGCTGGTGAATCTTATTTGAATAGATACTTCACTATCAATCTGGGGAGAAACCTTTTATCTGGATAGCAACTTCTTGCTCTGGAGTCGGTACTCAAATTAGCAGGCACCAGCATCCTGTTGCACGACAGATTGCTATTATAGCTTTCTCGGTGTTTTGGCTAAGATCTCGTGTAGTGCACAACACTTTACTATTTTAGCTGTGTAAACACTTAGAAGTCAGCAACTATATAAATAACTGAATTCTCTTTTTTCATTTTTTGAATCATGGAAATTGCATATTGTCAAATGCTGTCAGGGTTCAAAAGAGCGTCTTTAACGAAGTAGTTCCTCTTATTAGTGTAGGTTTTTGTATTTTTTTGAAATCTTTTTATAAGAATTCTAATTGCAGAATTCATTTCAAAAGAGTATTAGAGTAGTTAAAATCTTAAGAGTAAGGTACTACAAAGTGGAGAAGTTACATGAAAGCATCATCTATTGTGGTTCTAGTTTTAAACACTATGCCAGGAAAGTACTCTGAGGCGCTTATAAAAAAACAGCAACTACTACTCCTTAATCCCAAACTACTTGGTTATATGAATCCTTTATACTCGTTCCACATTTAGACTTGTCCCACTACTCAGTAATTTGTCCTCTGGAACAAATCACGAGTTTTATTTGTTACGACAACAATGGATACTTTGCTTCCATTCTATCCTATGATTCACTCTTGGATTTCAAGAAATTAAAGTCATTTGAAATAACTTTCCTCAATGCGATTCTAGTGCTACCTCGTCTTATTTTAATATCCTCGACTATCATGGTGTCTCATCTACTGGTCAATGCATCTGAATGTCGTGGCCGCATGGCCAACTAACTCAAAACAGTTTTTCCTCCGTGTACTCCTTGCACCTTTTGCCCGAGTCACACATCCATCTTAACATTTACATTTTTGCAACACCCTTCTTGCGTATACGGGCCTAATATTCGCTCATATATAGCGTTGCTGGTCGCACAACCTTTTTATAAACCTTGCTTTTCGCATTGGTAAGTATCCTCTAATCACATGATATGTCCGTCTAGCACTCTTTCATTTTGGCCATCATATTTTAACTTTATGTGTTATATCTTCTTCTATTTTCGTGTTCCTAGATTTTTGCTATTATACGTTTTGCCATTTGCTTCCGTTGCCTAGTATCTTGTTGCTGCTATTGTTTGTTTATTGCTTCCTTTTCACTGTTCTTGAGCCGAGGGTCCTTCGGAAACCGCCTCTCTACCTTCATAAGGTAGGAGTAAGGTCTACGTACACATTATCCTCCCCAGACCCTACTTTTGGGATTCCACTGGGTCTGTTGTTGTTGTTGTGTTTGTACTTCTTCATCTATCATGCAAATCTCTTGGAAAACTGAGGCTAAACATCTAAATTGTCCGCATTTAGGCATCAAAATCCCATTTAATCTCACATCAAGTTCATTCTTCTTGTGTTGGCTACATGTATGTTCTGTCTTAATTTGACTTGTCCTAGAACTCTTTAATCTCTAGAGTGTTTCTACATAGGTCAAACTTTGTTTTAGATGTATTACAATGTGTGCAAAGCTTATGATTTACAAATAATAATTAGGGAGTACCCTCAACCGATGACCGAAGTTCTAACTACACATCTTACCTTTTCGGGGATCCTATTACCCCTTTGATCTGTTTTAGTGTAATAAACGCCACCCTAAGTGCTGACGTAACATAGATAATCAAACTCTTGGTAGACAGTGAAATACACACGCTGACACATGTAATTTCGCAATTTTTTATAATTGTTTTAAATCTATTTCATTTTCTTCCTTTTTGTTTTCTTTTTAATTCCAAAATATAATGGAAAAAATAAAAATGACAATCGTTATTGTTCTTGTATGAACTTGAAAAAGAATTGAAGGTGCTAAGCATATTCGAAAGTTGTTGAAGTTTTGAAGTTGAGATTCAAGTGCTGAACTCATTCTAAATCCTTAGTTGCTGTTGAGATTCGAAAATGGAGAAAGAATTTCGAATCCACCATTGTTGAAGAATCTTGAAGAACAAAAAAATGTGCTTTTTTGAGATTCTTGATTGTTGGTCAAATTCATTACTGGGATTTGGTGATGATGTTGTGGAGTTGTAGTTGAAATTTGAGCTTGATTGGTGCCAATTTGACTGAGTTTTTGTTGAATTTTGAGACCCAAAATCAGA